GCATTTACACAATATAAAAACATTCAACATAAAAACATACAACAGTGACTATTTGGCAAATTAGATCTGATTCCTTTACTTAAATTCACAACCAAACAGCCAAGTCTTGAGCGCCTGGAATGTGTCTGGAATGTGTCCAGAGGAGAGCGACTAAAATGATAAAAGGTCTGGAGAACAAGCCCTATGAGGAGCGGCTTAACGAGCTGGGCATGTTTAGCCTGAAGAAGAGAAGGCTGAGAGGGGATATGATAGCCATGTATAAATATGTGAGAGGAAGCCACAGGGAGGAGGGAGCAAGCTTGTTTTCTGCTTCCCTGGAGACTAGGACGCGGAACAATGGCTTCAAACTACAAGAGAGGAGATTCCATCTGAACATGAGGAAGAACTTCCTGACTGTGAGAGCCGTTCAGCAGTGGAACTCTCTGCCCCGGAGTGTGGTGGAGGCTCCTTCTTTGGAAGCTTTTAAACAGAGGCTGGATGGCCATCTGTCAGGGGTGATTTGAATACAATATTCCTGCTTCTTGGCAGGGGGTTGGACTGGATGGCCCATGGTCTCTTCCAACTCTTTGATTCTATGATTCTATGATTTACAAAAGGTCGCAACTCCGACATTGCTCTAATGTATGGAGGAAATGAGTTCCGCAGAATTGGAGCATAGGTCGAAAAAGCTCTACACCTTGTAGCTTCCAGGTGTACCTCCCTAGGGCCCGGTATATATAGGAGATTTTCTTGTGTGCAGCAGAGATGAACACACATATATACACAGATACACAAATATATAGACACATATAAACACATATATACAGACTGGGCCACAGCAACGCGTGGCAGGGGACGGCTAATAATAATAATAATAATAATAATAATAATAATAATAATAATAATAATAAAGAACTTCATTTATACCCCACCATCATCTCCCCAAAGGGGACTCGGGGCGGCTTACATGAGGCCAAGCCCAGTAGTGCATTACAATACAATAACATAAAAAGCATAAAATAACATTGCAATAAAATGAAGCAAGCATAAAATATAATAAACAGTGCAAAGTAATACAATAAAATCAAACGCAATCACAAAGAGCGGGCCACATGTGCAAGATACAATGATAAAACTCAGGATGCAATAGAAATAAAGCATATATATTTGTAAGGGAACTTATGAACGAAGTAATGGAGAAAGTCCTCCATGTGGGCAGGAGGCAGTGCAATATGTGATGTTATTTTATGCTTTTTATGTTATTGTATTGTAATGCACTACTGGGCTTGGCCTCATGTAAGCCGCCCCGAGTCCCCTTCCCCTTGTCATTTTGGGGAGAATGACAAGGGGAATGTAAAATCACTCTCCAAAAGTGCAATGGAAAAGCCATCTTTTGAGATTCTTCTTGAAAGTTTCTAGGGTGGGGGCTTGCCTAATTTCACTGGGCAATACGTTTCAGAGTCAGGGGACCACGGAGGAGAAGGCTCTTTCCCTCATTCCCATAAGTTGGGTCTGTGATAATGGAAGGGGACAAAGGAGGGCCTCCCCCGAAGAACGAAGGGATCGGGCAGGTTAGTGGGAGGAGATATGGTCACGAAGGTAGGCGGGTCCCAAATCAATTAGGGTTTTAAAGGTGATGACCTTTACCTTGAATTGGGACCGGAAAATAAATGGTAGCTGTGACGATGTGTAAATTTTATTCCTTTGGTTATGTGTAGTTTGGACAATGGTTTAGGGATGGTAAGTA